CCATTTGTACCTGATATGTGATTGCCCGTTTGTGTTGTGCTGAATTGAGTTGAATTGGATAACGGACATGTTCAGGCACCCCAGAGATTGGGGCACACCCCAGTGACTCTGGACCGAACTAGTAAAGATGGGGAAAGAGACTTAAGAATAGTTCATGGAAAACAAAAAAGAAGAGTTCATGGAAATAAAGGTACCTTCCAGCTGAATGCCAGGGCCAGGTAAGCTCAAACAGAGAATGCTAAGTTGCATTCCTTGAATTCCCAATAGAAAGGTGACATTGCCGCCCGAGTCATGTTTTCAAGGTTCACCCATGTCGTAGCAGGTACCAGTGCCCACAGAGCTGGTCAGAACACAAGCAAACCGTGGTTTTGAGGCTGGGATCGATAATGAGGGTGTGTGTGTGTCCAGAGTGGGTTGGAGAAGCACTGGGGGATCATAGCAGGATGGTGATCTTGGAAAAGAAACTACTGAATGGCTGGGGCGATTGACTTTGAATAATGAAAGACTGGACTTGGGGGTAGGTCACCAGAGACTTTAGCCCCAAGAGGCAGAGGTCAGACTAATATGTAGAATTTTTCAGAGCAGATTTTAGCCCAGAACCAAAAGGAATTTCTGACAGCTCGGGCTGCCGAGGATGTGGAGGAGAGATTTCTTTTTCTTTTTTTTTTTTATATATTTTATTGATCTTTCACAGAGAGGAAGGGAGAGAGATAGAGAGTCAGAAACATCGATGAGAGAGAAACATCGATCAGCTGCCTCCTGCACATCCCCCACTGGGGATGTGCCCGCAACCCAGGCACACGCCCCCGACCTGAATCGAACCCGGGACCCCCCAGTCCGCAGGCCGACGCTCCATCCACTGAGCCAAACCGGTCTCGGCAGGAGAGATTTCTTCACACTGGATGGGAGAAGGTGGCTCTCAGCTCTTCGATATTCTGGTTTTGAAAGACTGCCTACATGGGACTGTTTTTCTGTTCATTCAGTTAACACCGTTTCCTGAGAGCCTACTGTGAGGCAAGCCGCACTCCCTGAGGTGTTTTTATAACTTTCTAATTCATAAAAGGCGACAGGATGACTAACCAGAACTCAGTTCTGAGTTGGGAAAGAGCTAAATAAATGTCACCTGATCTTTTGTTTGATTTAAAAGGAAAAAAAGATATTTTTTTTCTCCTTGATGTATGCAGAGCTAACTGAATCAATGAACTCCACCAAGCTCTCCCACTCTCACTTTGCCATAATACTTATGAAATGGTGGGATTTTTCTCATTACACATGAAAATAAACATAAAATTATTACAATAAAAAGACATTGATCCCTATACTGCTTAAAATAATTGCATGTTTGTCCCACATTTTGGGGAAAGTTGTCAGGAGTGATAGGGGGGTAAAGGAGGCTATTAGGGGTTTTAGGCAGGAACGCGACATGCTGAGGGTCACATTTGGAAAGATTCACTCTGGCTGTTGAGTGAAGAATAGCTCGGAAGACAGGGAGACCTGCTGGGAACTCTGGGAGTTGTCCCTGTGAGCTGAGATACGAGCCTTAAACCAAGGCTCTTACAATGGAAATAGGAGGGGATGGATTTGAGGGGCATTTAGGTGTAGG